GGCAGCAGCCTGCTGCCAGGTCAGGGATCAGGCTGTGGGAAGCAAAGCCCCTTGTTGTCTCATTGTAGGTGGTTGCCCCTTCAAAGGGCAAGGAGAGGCCTGGGCAGACACAGAAGGAACCTGCAGCCAGTGCTGCGCCCCACCAGGTACCCACACACAGAGCCCACTGCACCCACCCTGCCCAGCATCCCATTCCTTCCAAGTTTGCCTCCTGGGCCAGCCTGCTGCATTTTTTTAAACTTTCGCTCATTTTTTCCACTCACAAACTATTTTTTGCATTCTTCTTTCATGACAGCCATTACACACATGACTATGTTCTTGTCAAATACATACGTATGTAATACCTTCCATGACACCCATTACACACATGTTCTTGTCAAATACATACGTATGTAATACATACAGAGACACACACATAGATGTATGTATTTAACATACCTTTACACTTAATCTTCTGAACTTATTTCCACATAGAGATTCTCCATCCAGCTCCCATGAAGGCTCCTGTCCATGATTAGTATTTTGTTCTATTTCTTCTAGCACAGCAAGTGGAAAAAAATGCACAAAACCCACAGTCAGGCCACCGCTGCTATATTAGATTCAGGCACAGAAGATGAAGCTTTCTCTAAACCTAGTTAAGCATAAACTTGCTCTGTACATAAGTGTTTCATGAATGTTTGTAGAGTTCTTGGTATAACATGAAACACTTGATCTAAGAACTGCTAAATAAAAAATTGCATCTTAAGTGACCACTTCAGATTTTTTCAGCTTCCAATGCAACTATTGCTCTCTTTAAATCTATGAACCTCTCACTTCCTAATCCCCAGAATCATCACAGATGAGAAATTTCATGGCACATGATTAATATCCAGGTTTGTAAGTCTACATTGCCTATTGAATAAACTTCCCAGTGAGGAAAGCAGGCTCTAGTTGCATTAGATGAAGTTTAGCAGCCTGCCAGTGTGACTGAGTTTCCTTAACGAATTCTATACTTATAGACACATTCAATAAGGAAAAAGATTTCAAGGTCATCTTTTCTGACTTATTTTTTTAATTGTGTACTAAACAGGCTTTACTAGATGGACTTTTAAAAAAAAAATTACTACTATTCAAAATTCGTTAATCAACAGCACTAATGTATATATTTAAACAGAGAAAGATTTTTTGTTTGTTTTTTAAACACTTAAAGCGGTTTAATAAGGTAGGTTGAAAGAGCAGTATGCAGAGAGTCATACATAATTTGCATTGACTTGGAGAAAAACTACACAAACTCACCTTCTGAAAGTGGAATCTATCCCTTGAACACTAACTCCTGCTTTCCCCACAGGTGCTCTGTTTACATCACTGCTCATGGGTGTTTCTCCAGCGACAGCAGAATACACGTTGCAGAAAGCATAGCTCCACAACAGAGTGAAAATCTGCCTATGAGCAAAAGAATTGTCCAAACAAAATGGGCAGCAGCAAGATGTGATGTAGGACAGGTTGGTTCCAGGGATGCCTAGAAACAAATTTACTTGTACCCACTTGGAATTTGGCTCAAGTTCTTTAAGAAGTACCTGTCTGTCTCCTCTAGCAGCAGCCTTGAACACCAAGTTTGAATGGAGCAGTATTAAAAAGAAGATAGAAAGTATATGTATATTTTAGTTGTGCTAGGTGTTACATTCGGCATCTATTGCATTTACAGGATGTCATCGCATGATAGAAAAAGCATTTGCATTTAAGTTTATTTAATTCAGAAATATTTGTGGGCCACTATCCTTGTGTTCTGTTTCTAAGGATTAGCGTAATACCATTCCTTCCTTCTTACGTGCATCAGACCTCTTTTGATTCCTTTGATTTAAATAAGCTTCAACTCTTGCTCTCTGTATTCCACTATTACTTATTTCTATTATGTAAACACCCAGAAGCCCAGTCAGAATTTCAGCCCTCACTGTTCTGGGAGGTCACAAGGTAATCCATATTGACATTCCCTATCCTGGAGGGTATCTGAACACTCACGAGTCCATCACTGCAATCTGGCAGGTGGCAGCATTCACAATTTCAGGAAGAATATTCGAATAACACAGTTTCCTGCTATGATTAGCCTGTAGTCATCATACTTTTCCATGATTTCTGCATTCCCATATGTCATTGACTTTGCTGTCTTTTCCGTATAAACCAATGTCAGCTTTCTACAGCTAACAGCTGAATTACACAGTATCTTCCAAAATTGCACCAAATTAACCTGGATGGATACAGCTTAATACAAATCAGTCCTTGACACTGCGACCAAAGAAAACTAAGGGTCAAACAAAAAAAATTAATAAATGAAGGAGAAGATGCTGGGATTAATTTTATAAAATTTTGATAGATTGACTACAACCAATATCTCCAGATAATATCACAGTAACAAATACAGAAAAACAGTATTAAAAATACTATAGATCAACTCATTTACAATTTCCCATGACCTAACTCTATTTTTTAATTCTAAGAAATTAAGTCAATGGATTTAATGAAACTGTGGTATAATTTTAAAAATATTCCGGGAACTTGTGTCTTAACACGGGTTTTCACTTTGTTGTTTTGGTTGGGTTTGAAAATTATTTTTAAATTTAAACAAGGGGGGTTGAGTTTTTTGTTTATTTTTTAGAAAAAAAAAACGAACTTAATCTATAAAATAATAAAATACTTTGGAGTTATTTTAAGTAGTTTATTCTGTCTTCATACGGCTGGTTACAACAGGCCAATTGACTCCAGCTCGTCATATAGGAGACAATTTTAGTATAATTATTAGAATGAATACCAGTATAATTCTGATATGATACTAGCCAGGAATATATGCACCACTAAATATATGAAGAATTGCATCTTTATGGGTATAGATGCAGGCTAATAATATATTACATGAAACAGAATGCTAAGGTAAGCAGGTGTTCCCAGCACAGTCTATTTGATGTGCGATAACTTGCTGCACAACCATTCATTTTGTCACAAAACTATTATTTAACACAGCAAAGACAACTAAAAATATTACTCAAGGTTTTCATGCAACTAAAAGTTCACTGGTTTATTTCTCTTGTAAAGAGTAACAGTCTGAAACATTTTACATTAATTTACAATCATGAAAAAGATTCTTATGCTTATCTCATGTAGGTGACATTAAGTCATCCAGTTAACACTAATTATTATTTACAAAGTTAAATCCTGTTTTATAAGTTTAAACATTTTTTGAATCATTTGTTGCCAAAAAAATAACATCGGTCTACAACCACACAGAAAGTAGAAATTAGAATTTCTACAGAGCCACTACCATTGCTATGAAGATACAATGCCAAGTGGTACACCATTCTGCTACAGTTATCACTTCTCCCAATATTTAGGATGGCAAACATTCCCTTTTTGCTTTTTACTGAACGCACAAGATCTACAGTAAAAGGGGAAATTTTAATTCATAATGTTAGATCAAGGGTAACAGAAGTGCTTCCGAGTCATTTACTTTTCATGTAGAAAACTAACAGGGCTGTGAATTCTTCTTCAAGAAAGGGCAGGTTTTTCTCCTCAGGCTCGGAAGGTACACCACACTGGTACACTCCTCTCCTGCCACAGACAGCAGTGGAAATGGCCTGCACATGCTGGGGCAACAGAGAGGAAAAGCTGAGATCCACCATACAGACCGAAGGCGAGACACCGAGCCCACAGCAGCTGTGCAGAGCTAGAAGAGTGTGCCCTATGAGATGAGGTGCAGTGCAACGAACCCAGGGCTCAGGTCAGCAACTCATGCACAGAGCAGGAAAGCCCAATTTCACCAATTAAAAATATTTGGATGTTTCACAACTTTTGTTTTCTTGAAGCCTTGACGAAACCAATCACTCTGATTTATGTGTCACTCAGCAACATGAAGCAGAATTGTACACATCTGCAGCCTTCTTTGGAGGGAATACAGCAACAACTGGCTTGCCTCCCTTGGTGATTTATGTGTCACTCAGCAACACGAAGAAGAATTATACACATCTGCAACCTTCTTTGGAGGAAATACAGCAACAACTGGCTTGCCTCCCTTGGCAGAGAGGACACAGACCACCACAAAGCCACTCTGCTGGGCTTGGCCAAGAAGCTGGCATGCCACGGTCCTCTCCTCCCAGTGCCCCACCAGCAGGTCTCTAACTCACCCATGCACTTGGAGCAGACTGCAGAATCTCAGCTATCACAAAGTGCTCTGATGCCACACAGAGATGGTTGGTGGGTCATTGCCATGCACTGACACTGCACCTGGCATGGGAAGTCCATGAACAGTAGAGAGGCAGGGGCTATACAGCCAGAGGAAAACTATCTTGAAACATCTTCCTGGGGTCTCTGCACAACAGTACACTTTAACACAGACATTTCAAGCTTTTCTCACCACCCTTTCTCTTCTTCTGGCATCCCTTAGCCATTCCTCTCACCAGTTACACTGCCTCGTATCTTCTTCCAGATAACCCCTGTCCTTCCTCCCCAGCAGGGGCCCTGTTCAGGATGAAGCACACCAGCCAGGAACACACAAGGACATGGGTTCCTTCCCCTCTGTTCTGCTAATTCACTCCCTGCCTCCCTCCTCCCCCCCAAGCCTGTTTGCTCCCCTTTGCTGCAGGTCTGGCAGCCCATTCCTGGAATGGAGACTTACCACCCTGCCACAGGAATCCGCAAGAAGATCTTAAGCTGGAGCAGGAGCCCCAGTGCAGCCAGTTTAGGGGACAGTTCTCCCTCTTGGCAGCAACTCAAACCATTTCCCTCCTCTGCTCAGACCATGGGAATTGTCTCTGGGCAGCAGCAAGAGGAACACAGCATCACATCTCCCCATCCTGAGAGGGCTCTGCTCCCCAGCCATGGACTAAGGCCACTGTCCCTTCCCATCACACTGTGACCAAGATATGTCCTTACCACAAAACAGGCTGCACCGCCTCACGTGCCCCAAAATAGGGCTGCATAACGTGACAGTTCAGCAATGCTGCATTTGGTTGTATCAGCCCATTCCTGGAATGGAGACTTACCACCCTGCCACAGGAATCCGCAAGAAGATCTTAAGCTGGAGCAGGAGCCCCAGTGCAGCCAGTTTAGGGGACAGTTCTCCCTCTTGGCAGCAACTCAAACCGTTTCCCTCCTCTGCTCAGACCATGGGAATTGTCTCTGGGCAGCAGCAAGAGGAACACAGCATCACATCTCCCCATCCTGAGAGGGCTCTGCTCCCCAGCCATGGACTAAGGCCACTGTCCCTTCCCATCACACTGTGACCAAGATATGTTCTTACCACAAGACAGGCTGCCCCAGAACCGGGCTGCATGACACGACAGTTCAGCAATGCTGCATTTGGTTGTATTCATTTGCTCCTAACAGCATAGGGAAGAGATTCATACCCTGGCTCTGGATGAGAGTTTCATCTGTCACGCTGTGCATGTGGTATTATTCACATACAACAGTTAAATACCACATACCAATGCAATGAAACCTGGGGAGATCCGACTCCACACCCTGGGAAATGGAGCATTTGTCCTGGCCACCTTCAAAACATCTGTATCTTCGCTAAGGGGGGTGCATGAGGAAGGTTGGTGCCCATTGCACCACTCAGCACTGCCAGTGACCAACGGACAGAGGTGGTAACTCCATCTCCAAATGAGCGGGACTGAGGCCAACTCCCTTCAAGACAGAAGGCCCAGAAGGTACGTTGCAGTGAGGAAGCGGTTTGCACAGTCAGAGGACAGTGATGGAACGTTAAGTGTGGACAGAAAAGCCACTGAGACAACAAAAACATTTTGATCAGCCTAGTTCTCCCTACAGGCCCTTTCAGAACAGCCTTCTCTCACACAAGGAACACAACCTGAGGAAAAGGACACAGTTTGGGAATCCTGAACGGCATTGTGCCATAGATGACTTTTGCAGCCACAGTCTGGTTGAGGAATCTCTTTGTAGGTCTATTTCTCCCCAGCAAGACAGGGAAAGCAGCCCTTCTCTGCTCAACGAGGTCATTGCAAGGTGCTCAGACAAGATAAGAAATATAAGGATTGAGGCTCATGTAAGAACCTTATACAGGTTTAAACAGTGATGTAAAAGAGTATAATCTATGCAAAGCCTGCATTTAAAATGGGGCTTGTGTGGTGTTCAACTGCAGGTGCTCAGAGGACAGAATTTTATACTACTTGAAAGAGCCAATGCCTCATGCTGTCCCAGGCCTAGGCAAAGGCAGAGTGCACTGGGGTTTAGCAAAGAACCTGTTGTGTTATAATATTTGAAGCCAGCCCAAAACGGAAGTGTTCAGCAGATCAGGGTCTGTTTTCCATTACTGTGGTGTCCTGGTTTTATTCTTTTATCACTCAATTTATACCAATAGGTCATCAGCACGAACACAGTGTGACCCAGACCCAGAGCATTCAAGCTAATATTCAACCCTTTGCTTATTCCTCCATATACCTCATAAAACATATCATTCAGAGAAAAAATTCATCGTGTGCAATTCTTGGACTCACTGGTTTAGACTAAAACTACTTCAATCTTAGCTCTGAATTTCCTGTGTAGCAAAAGTTAATAGAGACATCAATCTAGTTCTCACTTTCAGCGAGACCAAACATGAACCCAGCTTTGTTGAGGTAACATGCAGTAATGGCAGCCCAGAGTTCATCCCAAACCACACTACTTAGCCTGTCTGTCCTCATTAGCTTTTGGAGTTACTTATGAAGCAACAGTGCAGAGCTCTACAAACTTCTGCTTGGCACCATTTGGTTAAAGAAATGATGGGCAGTCTCTAATTCAGAGACCCATGAAGTATCCTTGGTACCCAAAAGGTATTATCTGGAAAGGAATCAAAATTCTGTTCACCAAAATATTTATATTAGCTGAGAAAGCCAAACTCTGCCAAGAATGGAGCTGGAAAGCTTCCCTGGAGTTCCTCTGCCAGTGTGTAAAACACAGACAGCAGCCCCACCTGCCACAACCCCTCTGTGCATGCTGAGGGCTGGTTAGTCTTTTGAGTACAGAGCCAACTATTTGTAAGGCCTCAGAAATCTGGAAACTTTAGAGCGCAGCAGCCGGATAAAGGATCTTGGGAACATCTCTCTTGACTCTTGGGCTGTGTATTTGAAGTAGTTCTGTGGATGTGCCAACACGTCAAACAATGCTTTTATCAGTTTCTTGTCCTAAAAAACAGAAAGCAGATTTTACAGTAATTCCACAGAGGAGTTAGGGTCAGTATCAGCAAAGCTTAATGACTGATTAAAAGACTATGGGCATTCTACTTTTCAAGTACTAATGTTTCAGGGGCTCAGAAACTAGTAGAGCAAGGCTGACATTCAGGTCCCAGGGAAGGCACTGCAGTTTCACATTTATCATTAGTGGCACCAGGATTTCTCCCCTCCTCAGACTTCCAAGAATAGCAAACAAAAGAGGGAAAAACCCCCCAAAAACACAAAACAAACACGGCAAACCAAATCCAACAAAAGAAAATTTTACTAGGGATGACATCCACTCAACTTGCCCATGCAGGTTTTCCCCCTAGTAGCTCTGATCCACCTTTAATCCTCCTGGACACAGGGTCTCATATCTAGTGGTCTGCACAATCAGGATGTGCTGATTTACCCCACTTCCCTTAAGTAGCACGTGTCTAAGTGCACCAAAAGTCTAGTGCAGAGCAGGAGGCAACCTCATTGGCAAAAAATAGTGTCATTTTCAATCAAAACCAGCATGCTTAGTGAAAGGAATATACCTTAAGTATTTCTTGATGATTTTCAGATGCATAAAGTCTACCATCCCGAACAATGTCTTCTATTAGTTCTTGGTAATCCTCTATGGGGAATGCACAAGAGAGTCATTTGCAGGTTCACTTCACTTACATACTGGATACCTCCCTTGGTTACACATGTAAGCCCTACCCCAAAAAGAACTAGTGGTACTCAGCCTTCAAATTAGCAGCCAGAAAATATTCCAAATGCTATTCTGAAAAGAAACTACAAATACTGCTTACTATGAAAGCAGTATACTCTGCTGAGCTGCTCAGCATCAGTTTGTCAAAAGCAAAAGAAATCATAATGCACCTAGGATTGTAAGTGCATACTGTAACCAAGTACCCCACTTCAAACCAACTGCACTGCAGAAATTTATATGTAAATATCCACAACCTGTTATTGGTTTCTTTCTATGGCAAGAAGGGGATGAAGGGGAAAGGAGGTAAGAGGAAACTTTCTTAAAATGCAAATTCCCCTGGTCAATCAAAACTTGAAATGCTTCAAAAGGAGAGGTATCCCCTGAAAAATTAATTATTCACTGTTGATGAAACTCTGCAGACCACAGTGAGGACAACTCCTTCACAGTTAACACAGTACAAAAAGAAACATGCCATATCATTTTCATACCCTTTAGGCTGAAGTGCAAAGCATCAGCTCCAGTTTCACTCCTGGTGACTCTGACAAGGACAGGGTGAAACTCTTGCCCCTCAAGCTTCTTTTCGAAGTAGATATTTTACTATCTGGCACTAGATTACAGATGGTAGCGGCAACACGATAAAGCAGAGGCACTTGCGCCCTCTGCCCAGTTCCTAACTGGGAGCACCCTGTTGCCACTTGAAGCAACCCAGAACTGGAAAGTCACAAAAATGCATAAAACCCAGATTTCTGGCTTTGAGCTCTGCATTTCGCGGGTCAGGGCCCAGAATCCGAGCTCTTTGTTTAGGTCTGTGGAAGACTGGAAATATGATGGCACTTAAGACTGCAACGCAATGCAGAATTCCTTAAATTAGCTTTAGATGAAAATAGGTACTGGAAGTAGTCTGGCAGTGACACTGCGAGGAGTGCTGGGTTACCCTGCTGCTTAGCGGGGTCAAGGAGCCCACAAGGAGTTGTGCACTGCTGCAGCTGCACTAGGCCGCGTAGGCCCAGCTGCTCACACCCGCTTACCATCATACGTTACATAAGGAACTTGGAATCCTTTGGCACTGTTCCCTTCGTTTGACTTGAACTGGATCCACAATTTCTTAGACCTAGAAGTGAAAGCTATAGGGCGTTCGTAGGTTTGACAGGTCTCATACGTGGTCACCGAGTTGGAAGAAGCTTTCAAAGAAAACACACAATAGGCAGTTACCTGACAATGCTTCATACTAATGAACAGTTAGAAAACACGTTAAACTACCATGACAAGAAAATGCTTGCTGGTGTTAAGAAAACTCCTCAAAATGTTGCAGGCAGGCCATCAGTGGATGGCAAGCCATCAATCACAGAATCACAGAATCTTCTAGGTTGGAAGGGACCTCAAAGATCATCTTGTCCAACTGTCAACCTGACTGACAAAAATAGACACCCACACAACAAACAAGAAGCATCACCATCACTAAACCAGACCTCCCAGCACTACATCAACCTGTCTTTTGAACACCTCCAGGGATGGGGCCTCAACCACCTCCCTGGGCAGCCCATTCCAATGCCTGAGAACCCTTTCAGTGAAAAAATGTTGCCTAATATCCAGCCTGAACCTCCCCTGGCGTCACTTGAGGCCATTTCCTCTCGTCCTGTCGCCTGTGACTTGGGAGAAGAGACCGACCCCCACCTCTCTACACCCTCCTTTCAGGGAGTTGGAGAGAGCAAGAAGGTCTCCCCTCAGCCTCCTCTTCTCCAGGCTGAATAACCCCAGCTCCCTCAGCCTCTCCTCATAAGACTTGTGCTCCAGACCCAAGGAGTTCTTGCCATTCCTTAGTCAAGGAATGTTTTCCCTGTTTGAACGATGTACCTATACTAGAAACTGGAGCTCTTTATTCACACATCAGGCACCTATGGGGACTAGCAAGCATCTGCTCTTTCCTAACCCAGACTAGAATCGCTTAGCATAATTCATGACTAGTTAGCTTGAACCATCTACCCCTTCTGAACAATATTTCTCTCAGAGTTCACTGACACATCATAGCCTTGCACCCTTATTTCACCTGAACCTCTGAAGCAGCATTACCAAACAGGATTTCTCAATTTGTCATTTAAAAACCTTTCTACCCACAAGTAAAGGCTAGTCAGGCTACATTTACCTTATGTAAACAGTAATGCACATGAGAAACCCGTGTTGCACACTGAGACAGATACACCATATGCCTCAGTAGATATTTCAGACTTACAGCTTTTTCGCATCACCAGGTAGTCTCCACACTCATCTTCTATTGGTAGAAATATTTCTGGAACCACAATCAGAATTCGGCGCTTTGGCGGTGGGTTAATATTCCAGGTGCACTCAGTGTTTGCAGGATAGTCCCCAGGATAGTTGGGTGATTCGATATATCCAGTGTAATCTCCCAATTCACCTCCACACTGTCTATCTGAAAAAGCAATACAGTACCCAGGACTGACAAAGAGAGGTCATCCTACAGCTCCCTGCAGTCACTGTCAGAAACAGCACAGGGGTGACAGACACACAAACTTTCCTCTTTGCATCTCAGCCAGGTACAGTTCTCTGCCAGCTTCACTTCTCACTTCTCACTGCTCCTGCCTTTCTGTTTTAATTGTTGTTGAGGTGTAAATTCCCCATTAACACAGCAGGTGCTATGGACCAGGCCACAGCCAGCTGGCAAAGCAGTTGTAAGAAGACATAAAAGTGGTCACGTGAGGATGGTCCACTTGCTTGTACCAGACAGAACATTTTAACAGAAGTATCAGCTGAGGCCTAACTGGAGTCTGAGGCGCCGTGCTCAGGCACCATGCCTGCAGCAGCACAAAATAGGAGTACAGCAGGCCCTTTTTCTGCACACATCAACATTGCCAGCAGTAAAAGAGGATGAAGCCCAGTGCAGGAGCCTGTGCTCCCCAACCCTGTGTGGCCACAAGGGTGTGGGCACTACAGCACCATAACAGCGATGTGCAGGTGTGACATGCCCAGGGAACAGATTTTTTCTTATGTGAGACCTGCAGTTCCTAGAAACTTATTTCTATGCATGTATATCTGTGTGTATGTAAGTGTCTCCAGAAGTTCTTCTGAGGTGTCGTGTCTCTGCCTGCTATTTCCCCCTCTTTAATTTACCCTCAGCTTCCCACACTACAGCTACCATAATCTCAAACAGTGGCTCTCTTTGTAATTCCCTCTTGCAAAGGTTGCTATTAAAAAGAAATGGTTACTAGAGCTACAAAGTTTTGCAAGTGAACTTCCATTCCTTTTTATATAAGGGAAAGAAATGAGGGTGCCAAGAACATAAACTCTGTCTTCTGTATCATGGGAGAAAAGACTTAATAGCAAGACCCAGAGTGACCCAGCACCAGCTGGCAAGACACAATCATCACTTACTTTAACAAGAATGATGGAACTAGTCTGCAGAAATGGTCTCTCATGGACCTCAGTAAGCCCCAGGGGATAAAATACACACAGGCAGCAAAAGAGGAGTCACACCACTGCCTTCTCGCTAAGCTCCCTGGACCAAACCTAAATTTGGCCCTTCAGGCCACGCTGAATATTAATGGCCCAGTCTTTTCACTTGCACCAGATCATCAAAGCCATCTTGCTGTACTTACTTTTGCACTGTGTTACATTTGTTGAGCCATCAAAATCAGTAGTGGTGTTTCCAGGGCATGAAATGCAGTAATTTTGTCCAAACTCAGGCTGGTATGTCCCAACTGCGCAGCGAATACACCGATGAGTCGTGGTATTGTAAAAATGGCCAGGAGAACACTGAACTGAAGGATAATTAAATATGCAGCATGGTTTAAAAAAGCATTAAAATGTAATTTTATGCATTTTTATAGGACTTGTTATAATATTAATAACTCAAATGCCATAGTCATAAACTATGAGCGCAATAAAGCAGAGGTAAATGAGCAGATTTTGGCTCATCAGGTAACTTTGTGCAAGTTCAAAAATCCCCAAAGCAACACTACAGAGCGATTCTGTGTAGAAGCATTAACAGAAGACATGGGGGAGCGAGCGTAATCACCATGATCTTGCAAACAGGGCACCAAGTAGAAAAGTGTGTTACCAAGCAGTCTTACCAGCTGACATTCAACAAGATGAACTGTTTGTGGAAATATTAACTAAACCTCTCTTTCTCAACAGCTTATGCCAAGCCGCATGTGGACCCCTCTGATCAACTCACCACGAGCAGAGGTGAAAGACATCAGCTCCCTACAAGAGCCACATGCATCAATATCAGTGACTAAGCAGGTATCTCACACTGTCTTGCAACAACAGGCCATGACTCAGGGTACAGCCACCTCCACCAGATCTGCTGCTACTTCATTTCATCATGTCACATAAACCATCATGTTAGCTAGACACACAACTGTAGCCCTCACAAGGCTTGCTGAGAGTACCTCCTGCATCACTGAAGTGAGACCCCTTTCTGACATACAAAATCTTTCATAAACACAGCAGATTTCAGGGAGGTTTTATACATGAGATAGAGGGAAAATCCTTTCTAGCAGACCTGCAACTTTTTTTCTAGTTCCCTGCATGCAGACGGGAAGATTTTCTTCTCTTATTGCAAGCTGAGAAATAGAGGATGCCAAACACCTTTGCTTACTTCTCTAATATTCTTATTTTAATTTGATTTTGCTTAGCTATTCTGCATCTATGTCCATCATAATATGTACTGAAACTTCACAAAGTAGTCAAGAGCATGAATCACTTATTATCTTTGCTTTTAACACCATTACCTTCTTGCTTCTTCTTCCTTGCTGTTTTTCTTTGTGGGACAAAAAAATAAAATAAAATCATTTCCTATTCCTTTTACCTCATTTGGCAAGTTTATCTCTCTCAGCTCAACGTCAAAATAATTTACTACCTTGCCTTTCAAACATAGTTTTCTGTGCTGCACAGTCCCTTTTTTCTATTCTCTTTAAGCTCTGCTTGTTCCCAAATAACTCTAGTCTCGTTGAGCTTTCTATTCAGAGAGCTCAGCCTGGAGTCCTTCCCTACATGCTCCACCCCCAATCCAAATGCTTAAGATACAAGTTCCAAATGGTTCTTGCATCTGTGATTCCATGTCTCATGTGGTCTCTTCCACATGCAAATCCCTGAGCTCTTCATCCAGTTAATACATAAAAAAATTCCTTTAATCTCCACTCTAATTTGAAAACTGAACCTAATTTATAGACCTGGTTTTGTTTACGTTAAATAAAACTGAAATCAGTTCCTTTTATCTTGATCCAAGTTTTTTAACATTTTTTTTAGTGCTTTAACTTTGCAAAATTAAGTATGAAAAAACAGCATTTGTGGATTCAGTGATTCTTCAGTGAAGAAATCTATTAGCTATCATATTATTACCATAAATATTAATTTTTCAACCTTACTGCAAAATTCTTTTATTATGTTGCAATTCTCAATAGTAAACATATCTTAACTGACACTAGAGAGATCTCTTAATCCAAACCACTACCAAATGTTTGCATCAGGATGTTTTTTCTATCCCTTATTTCTACTCTACAACAGTAACCTTTCTATTAACACTTCTTTTTCAGGTGATTTTGATACAAGTGATGTTCTTTCGGCCGTGCTTTAAGACATTGAGCAAACAATTATACTGATAATATTACTGATGACGTGTCCATGCTCTCCATGAACACATATTTTTATCAGCATTTTCAAAGACAACTTTATAGCTGTCTTTCAGCTTTTTACATTTTAGCTAAGATGCTAATGAAATCCCTTCATTTTTAAAGATATGATCCCCACCTGATTTTTCAGTCCTGTGAGGAAAATCTTGGGAGCTGATTGCACGTCAGCTCCACTGTGATCAAGTTCAGAGGGCTGTACTGCAGGGTTTAGCTGAATGCTAGCTCTTTAGGTATATCACAAGACACCCAAGCCAGCTCCTCCTTATGGACACAAAGAAACTATTGTCTTACATATCCTCCAGGACTGAAATTTCCTCCTCCACATTGTCATGTTGCTGCTGTGCTCAAACCAAAAATGTCAATAAGGCATATTGGTCCTGATTTCTTTCCCTGAGACATTTTTTTCTCCCTGCTATTCCTTTATATGACTCTTCACAGATCAATGACTACACTGACCAACTTCCACCTATCTCCCAATCCCTTCCCAAGTCTTGTAGGAAAATAAGTTATAAAAAGAACTCAGACTTCATTGAGTTTCCTTGCAGCCAGTTCAGGCGAGGCAACTATGAAATCCCTGGAAGGAGAGACCCTTGAAAGGAGAATGACCCTTCTTTGAATGCCCCTCTTATAGCAGCAGCATTTACTCTTGCCTTAGAGCAATGCAGTTCATCAAACAAATCTTTGTCCTTACCTTTGGTCTCACAGTCCTGAAACAAGGATGCACCACTATGTCTTGTGGTTAGACCTCCTCCACAGGGAAAGCAGGACACTCGCCCAGCTTCAGGCTGGTATGTTCCAAGGGGACATGGCAGACAGGGTTTGAAGCCGTCAGGAGAATATTCACCTGGTAAGCACTGATCTAGAAGAGGAAGAACACACTTGCTTCAACCTGTACAATGCAGGCAAAGGTATGTTAGTGAGCTTGTGCAGGGCCTGAAACCCCACAGTGAAACCGTTCCCTTTACCAGAGAAGCCAGAGTTTCAGAACTGAATGCTTGTGACAGATAGAACTCAACACATGCAATTCACCCTGCAAAACTGAAAGACACACTGATGAACTCTGATGCTGGTGTGCTCTTCTGAAGCTGGAATGGATTTCACACTTTGATGCAAGGCTACGCTGGACACTAGGTCTGTCCAGTGGTCTCTGTTAATCTGGACATTGCAATTATGTACTGATTATCAAGACTTTCTAGCTAAAGAACTCTCGGACCCCTCCCAAATGAAATAATTTGGTACTGAATCTAAGATGCCAAAAATGTACTTAAATGTTACTGTAAGTATTTTAATCTTAATAATTACTGAATACTCATATTTGATAACCATTGAGGTTTTCACACAATTCAGTAACACCAAGCACAACCAGTAATTGTGCAAATTCACTAAACTAAACATTACACATGCCTCAAAGACTTTTAAAGCAGAAATATTTTTGCCATTCCTCTGATATTGGATCTTGGAAAATTATTATCTCTGCACTGGAATGCTGTATTTTGTATGGTGCACTAACTCAATCCGACTGATTTTACTTAAATACACACCTCAATTAGATAGCACTAACTCAATGCGACTGATTTTACTTAAATACACACCTCAATATTATCTAACAATCCCAGCAATATTTATGGGTATCTTTGAAAAATTCTATTTTTCAAACTTTTCACAAAAGAACTGGCTTCAGTGCCACTATTTAATAATTACCCTGCTCTGGAAAGGCACAAAATACTGTTGCAGTTGTTGAGCTGTGCTGAAAAATTCTGTCCTTTTAAAGACCTGTTACGATACTAAACTGTTAGTTTTACTTTATAGCTCCAATAAATCACTCAGTGAATAGCCGTTTTGTTAGGAAGTTAAATTGGCCTTGGCTTCATTTCAGGATATATGACTAACAAGCAGCAGGGCATTAACTACCGGTCATGATCAATGATGAAGAATTTAGTTTATGGCTGATACACTGAGTGGAATAGTGAGTGTTCCTCCTTAGCTTAAAAATAAAACACAGCAGGTTAAGCAATGCTCTGTCACTTGTCAATGAAGTCTTAGCTCTTGGTTCTAACTTTTTCCACCACACAACACCTCTGCTCTCATAAGGACACACATTCATTTCCTCCTACATTTTTCAAGTCTTTCTTCATTTTTATAAACATTCCTACAGAACACTCATCTCTGTAGTCTTTGTGCAACTCAACAAACATGAATGAATTAAGGCTTTCATTGCAGCACTCCTAATAAGGTAATGGATGAGCACTATTTACAATTCCATGACCAGGAGAGACAATCAAACTTAGTAAAGGTGATTTTGAGAAGTGGCTACTGACTTCAGAAACCCAGAAACAATTGAAAGACCAGTGCAAACCTCCTTCCCTCAATAGGTTCTATGAGAAATCAATGCCCTGAGTGGCCTCGCTAGAGGCTATCTACCCTCTGCTATCTTCCCTTAACATGTCTTTTTCCTTTCATTTTAATCACACATCAAGTTTGGGGTTGTTTTACACTGGGGGTGTGTGTGTCTTCGTTTTGTTTTTGCTTTGAACAGAATGCTAGTTTACATTGACACTTGTAAAACCATACAAATTCAACCTTAAAACTGTACTACAAGTTTCCTGAACTCAGAGTCCAGCATAACAGCAGGTGGGCTAACAGAGCTCAAAGGAAACCTGTCCCAGGCAGGAACCAAACCTTATGGGGAAACATCACATTTGAGAACTTATTCCATCAGATCTCTCTTGACAGCTTTATCATCTGCGCCTTATTTGCCTTGAAACCCCATGTTGTAAAATTGTACAGATCCTTATAGAATTAAACTGAGGTAATCTAAATCTTCCAGGATTACTTAGCAAAATGCCTAATTTTTGAAGATTTGCATTAAGGAAATAAGCTTTAAAAGATCTCTTCAGACATCACCGAGATCCTCAACACAGGGCATTCTCAGATGCATTACACAACTGAATTCTGAGAGCAAGAGAAACATGGGGTAGAAGCATCAGCTGGTCCATTTCTGTGCTCTCCCTCCACATTGAGACACACTGTGAGCTCCAGCTAATTTTTGGTTTCCAGATTCTGAGTACTGGGGCAAGAGCCACAAGTTGTTTGTCTTCCCTCGTCCTGTTAAGTTACACTAAGGCAAAAACCACAACTTTCTCATTCCCCATCATAGCACATTCCCACACTTCAGCCAGCTAACAACAAGACAAAAATATCAAGTCACTAACATTTTGTGTCTGCGGGTTCAAAGCCAAATTAGGTCACCAGCAGTTAGACTACTAGATAATGTGCAAGGCGATACAGAGACTACATTTACACAGGTATTAGAGCTGTTCAGCTGTCAGGACTTTTGCAATTTGGCCGTTTCTGTGTACTGAAATAAGGCTGACATTTTAACTTTGCTCAGCATCAATCCGAGTTCCATTAAGATGCGCCCAAACTACATTTCAACTGCTTCAGGCCCCATTTCTCTCCCATCTTCCTCTTGCACTGGGTGCCCCAGGGATGCACTGGGCAGGTCAGCAGGACGGTAGGCTGTATCTGTGACAGTGCCCACAGGAGAAACACAGAGGCTGAGACAGTGAAAGGCAGGAGCTGTGTAAAATCAACCTGTTGGAAAAAACCACATTTTTCAACCTGAGTCAAAACATATTTATTTTTTTCCGTTTGATTTGAACCAATCGATTCAAGTGTTTCGTCTTCCTAAAAGGTGACAACCACAGAAAGAAAACTGCAAAAAAAAAAAAAAAGTCCAACTAGCTACCACCACTGCAAAAGGGTGTGCAAAACCAGCTGCAAAGAGCTGTGTACAGTGTGGTGGTTACAATTGTGGATTAGCTTGGAGAGAGAAAAGGATTAAGTGGGAGGACAGAGATCAGGTTGACCCAATATGGAGAGAAAGCCATGTAATGATGACAGAAATTCTTTCCAGTATGAATTACTGTTTAAAAATAAGAATATCTGTTTGGGCAGTGGCAGTTTGCTGGAGACAATCTAGGGTGACATAAGAGTCCTGACAGATTGATCATCCAGAAGAGCTGGACAAGCAATAGGCTTGACAGATTGCTCATCCAGAAGACCTGGACAAGCAATGAGCTTGTTCTGTGTGTCCATGGGGTTTGGGTTCACAGGACACTACAACCACTGTATAAGTAGGGGCTGGCCACTCTCTGCTCAGAAATCACATCACTATCACAGCCCCAGCACGTGGAGTGGCCTTCCAACACAGAGCAGGAGGGGGAAATGCTAATTGTTTTTACAATGGAGGTCCTTGGTTTATGAAGTAGCATATGTGGTGTTGCCTCCTGGAACTGGAGAGACTAAGCCTATGAGGGTTACTTCACATGTATTCATATCTGACATCACTACATGCAATAATGAACCTTGTTCTCAAGGGTGTTAAGCACCCATGCTCAATTTGACATCAGCGAGACCTGAAAAAAAATCAAGCAACTCTGGTTTTACAGACTGGGAAGATTACATTTTAAATATTGCACTGCCTAGAAAAATGCAAAGCCCTATCTTGCTATGACTTCTGAGACATGCCAAACACTTCAAGCCTTAATAGATCCTATGTGTGTATGAGAAAATAGGTTAATACATCCAGCTACAGATTTAGCTATTTGTGGTCTAATGAATACTCATTACTCAATGCAAATATTAAAATTACTCTGAGTGATGCCCAAGCTGTAATGGCTCATGCTCTCGAATATATCAGTTTCTTCACATGACTACATCAAACCAAGCTTTTCAAAGTGGTATGAGTGTCCAGACAGTTTGGTCCACAAACACATTCCCTGTGAAATGCTCACAGTTCGTCCCCATCTTGAACTTAGAAATGTTCCAAACAGGCTATTCACCTAAGCCCACTGGAGCACAGGGCACATCCACAAACACATTCCCTGTGAAATGCTCGCAGTTCCTCCCCTTCTTGAACTTAGAAATGTTCCAAACAGAGGCCATTCACCTAAGCCCACTGGAGCACAGGGCACGGGTAACGAGGAAAACCTGTTTAGAAGCTCTCAGCACTCACCAGGGCCCAATTTAGCATAACAAACAGACTTGGTGTTAGGTTCAATTACAGTAACATTAATTGTAGGGACATTATGTCAACACAGAAATCATTCCATGGAAATCCATACTACTGTGCATGAAATTAGGACGACACAAATGAACCGTCTCTTAAAAAATAAAACAAAACCAAAAAAACAACCAAACAAAAAACCACAACAAAACACCATACCCAAAACAACCACAAAAAAGCCCAAGAAACACCTCTAAGAGTTCAAACTTTTCCTGTCATTTGTTTAAATGAAACCAAAAAATTTTATGAGCCTCATTTCACAAAACTAGAAACTGCATGGTCCCACCTGGCACATGGGAAACACCAAGTTGAAACAAGATCTGAAGATCTGCAAATAATGACATTAAATCAGAATTCCGCTGGCTGGCTTTGGTTTTTTTCAGAAACCTGATTGTTTTTCTCCAAATGAACAAAAGAACCAATTGCCTCTAGTTGACTTCATTTCTGCAGCCACTGTCTTTGTTTGTCTTCAATACCCATTAAAAACCTGGTCTTGAATCTCATGCAGCTGTTTGAAAGGAAAAAAAAAAAAAAATATGTGAAAGCTTTTCTGATGCAAAAACAAGAAGGCAGCCAGGGGAGAGAGAGGGGCCCATGGGGAACCAGGATTAACAGTTACAAAGACATTTAAAGGCTCTTCCCCCCTTTTCACCATGTTAGCCTTTGAGCATTTGCTCCCATAGACAAATGCTGTAGTATCTCAGTGGCTGAGAAGGTGAACCTCATAAAGGAGGTCATGATCCACCAATTCACCATTTTCTTAAGAATGATGCCTTGACTTTATAAGGAAA